TACTGGCATCTGAGTATCTATGTAAGCATCCGAGTAGATAATAATTACTTGAGTTAATAATCTGAGTACTTGTTCTCGCAAAGAGCTTGCGTACTTTGTCTGCCCGAATTGACACTTAACTGGCACGTGGCTTTGAGTGCCACGTTGAATAAGCGTTTCTTTTTCCGTGACCGTATTTACTTTGTCGAGAGCACATGATGCGTAGTTTCCAATAAAGCCAACGAGCCCAAACCGCAGTGGTTTATCTGCTTGCCGAGATAAAGCGCGCAGCTCAATTACGAGCGCAGCCGTATTTGGCCGCCTGGAGCGATTGCAAAAGTTGGCAGAAAAATCACGCGGCGGTTTCATTTGGCGCAATTTGTAGGAACGCGACAAACATCCCATAAGTGTCAATTGTATGGCTGATGGCCTGTGTAATGTAACTGTTATATCCCATTAAACGAACGGGCCTACGGCAAAGGACGTCGGCACCTGGACTTTAATATGCAGAAAGCCCACTTATCGCGTGGATTACGATTACTGTTAATTCACTCTCACACATTGCAGCTCTTTTTGAAACTTGGAATGAGCCATTTGTTATGATAGAACTATTGGCCGGTTGCAAAACATAAAGTCGCGTGCAAATAGCCGGATAAAAAGGTAAAAAGAAGAACTTTTCTCTAACTCCCCAAATTTGTTTCTATCAATTCATACCCCTTTTGACTGTTTGTCCACTGGCTTATTACGACTTGACATTTCCCACTTAAACCTTTAAACCTTTGTACTTGCTGTCCTTTGAAAGGCTGCATTCCTAGAGTGTCAATTAGTTGTTTTTCTTTTGGTTTATTTATGCTTTCTTCTTTCCTGTCTTAATCCAGCTCCTTTCACGCATATTTAGACCAGATGCGTCCGCTTTGGTCGTTGTACCAGTTTTCTTGACCTTTGTATGAATATATCAAAATTTTGGTTTCAAGCAGCAGCTCCGACGAGATAAACGCCACTGGACCAAACCTCCACTACCATGAAAGTAATGGTTTTCATTTGCTCCGTTTTTTTCCAACAAGTGTGTTACGTAATTTTCATAACACCCTAGTTGCCAAAATGTTTATGTTATTCACTGAACGAGAGCTTGACAACCGCAATTTAGCGGAGAAGAATGAATAGAAAAGCGATCCCAACGAATTGTCATGCTATGGTTTTCCCCTATTTTTGTAGCTGCCATTCGCCATCTCTATATATATATATATATATATATATATATATATATATATATATATCTATATCTATCTATCTATCTATATCTATATCTATATCTATATCTATATCTATACCCATATCTATATCTATATCTATATCTATAGCTATATATAACTATACATATGTCGTTAAATACAGTGGCTTTTCTAGGTGCACGTTGGCTTCAGGAAAAATTGCTGAACTGCATGCTCAATTCGTTGCAATGCTGCGTTTCTCACTGAATGGCTTACGTCATCCGCTGTGCCAGTCACAAACGTTCATCTCTGCTGACCCCGCTATAACATAAAAGGTGGAATATATTTGTACCGCCACACGTAAGGTGCACCAACGTCCTGATTGTTGGTGTTTTCAAGTGACTTTTTGTCTTCAACATGCCAGTTGCATGTCAGCTTTGAACAAGATGTGCGTAAAATCTCCACATAGAGCTGCGGAGGCTATACTTGAATGTCTTGTATGCGCCAAGATCGCCCGTCCCAGGAATTAAGTCTAGGGTTGCAAAGAAATAAGGAAGTGTGGTGGTTTGCCGAAACTCATCATTCCCAATCGCGTCTTTTGTACTCTGTCCGCTTAAACCCTTGCCCCTTTGACCCGTCACCAAATCAAATTATTTCATTGTCAGCTTGCTTGCCTCTCTTTTTCATTTATTATTCCGATCAATATCCCTTCGATCATTTGGTTCCTGCTGGATCCATTGAGGAAATCGTGAGCACGATTTCTAGATATAACGGCCGTCATTTGACTCTCAATCAACTTTGTGCAAATTGCGATGCCACAATCAAACGTGACTCATTGAGAAGCATGTTTTTTAATAGGAAGTGTTATCTAAAGTAGTTTTTTTTTGTTAAAAGTATATTGATAAAAAAGTGAGGTAAACTTATTATATCTCAAGCTTGCTTTAATATTCAAAAGTGTGAAACATTCCTTTTAACCATATTAAGTTCTGCTCCAAACGACGGGACGAGCCGTGCTGGGCGTGCGTGCTGGACGTGTATGTGTGTGCTATGCCGCACACAGCGACTCGTGTGTCCGTGTTGTTTTTTTCCGCTGGCGTGTGGTACGACTGAGCCGCAGCGGTGCTCACCTACAGCGCTGGTCCCCTGACGGCTTCACGGGCCTCTCAGTCGGCCCTGCGAGATGCTGTCGGGTCACCATTCAGCGAGCAGCACCTCATAAACACTCCGGCGGTGGCGCCGCGGGCGGTCTGGCGAGACGCCTGGGGCCGCGGGCTGAGAAGTCTGTCAGTATAGCGCGCTGGCAAACAAATGGTTTGGACTTTCAGAGAGGAGTTGCTGCGACAGTTTGGCGTTGCTGCCACAGTGACGCACATGTATCCGTTTTATTCGCAGCAGCATCGCTGGTTGTCTGAAGCCTCCTTCGTACGTGCAGGCAGGGATCGAGGGACGCTCTCCCTCTCCTTCCACCAAATTTGGACAACGCCCTAGGACGGTGGGCGGAAAACTGGCGTGAGAACGGATTTCTAGAGCCCGTTTTCTGGCGTCCTCAACGCCAGAAAAACGTCTTTTCCTTAACGCCTTTTCTGGCTTCTGGTCTTATTTCTTATCATTCGTAATTTGTACTATGTGTCGCTCATTTGTTGTTTTTTAACGAGAATGTAACGGTTTTAGTTAGTATTAGTCTTTGTTAATGCTCACCAGTTTCATCGGTTGGAGAAGGTCAGCCCCGCATCCAAATCCTAGCCTTCGCTATTTAATTAGCTTGAGCACACTTAACTAATGCTAACCAAATCATTTGACGGCACCGCCGTGGCTGGAGGGCTGCTTGTGGAACACAGTGCAGAATAAGTCTTAGGATCGTGACTGCTGCAAACATTGGCGGGATCATTGACAAATACTTAGTTGATTTCATCAGCCACACACCAGTTATAGTACCACATTTGGTTACAGGTGAAGTTCTTGCTCATCGACGGCATGAGATGTTCTGTCGTTTTCGAACGCGTCAGCGCAATCGTCTCCTTGAGGCCTCCATATTCACATGCATCTGCATATTTGTGGAGCTACATTGTGAACTGTTGCGTTGAAAACAATCAACATTCATTATATCAGAAGTTACCGGTTGAACAAAAATTCACCAAGCGGTGGTTGCAAGGATGTCTTTCCATCACCAAATTTATGGCATGTGGTGATTTTCGGCGTACTGACAGCTGTAAATTTCAGGTAGATCCGTAAGGATAAGAAAATCGAGAGCTCACGATGTTGTTTATGACACTACAAAGCTGCGCTCCTGTGGCTCGCGAGACTTGGTCTTCCATAAACTTTTTTGAGTTGCGCCCTCCCTCCTATTGTGTACTCCTGCGCACGCCCTGAATCATTGGTACATGTTATGTAATACTCAACGTCTCGGGGAGGAAATCATTGTCACGAAACATCTCATTTATCACGGCATCTTGCTTACGTCAAGCTGGATTAGTACAGACTGCCAGATGGCATGAAGCTGGAAATGGGTATCTAATGCCATTAACTTGAGCATGGTTTCTAACACGGCGCAGAAAGTGATGGGTGTTGTATACAGCTTCATCACATCTTTTTATAAAATTACGTCCATTTTCAACAACAGTGCTTAGCCGCACAGGCTCTCTCAACCGAAACACCATCGAAATGCTCGCACGAAGTTACGATTCTGCAACTCCCACTACTAAACACGTGGAGGCTGATCAGTGACAGGGTGGGGAGACGGACAAGGCGCAGCGAAGGACAGCTGCGCCCGTTTGGTTTCGTTTTACATCACGCTTGTGGTGATGGAGGGAAGGACACGACTCATATGATCTTCCGAGCTTCGCTCTCGATGTGAGTACCGCGCAGGGCCTCGCACCCATAGGCGGTGGGGATTTTTCGCGGTGTCAATGACATTGGTCGGTGTTTTTTTCATCAACGAATCTTCGGCAAACACAGACGCGGATATTGGCGCGCAAAATGCGAGGGTGGGTGTAAAAGAGTGAGGGATCTGTCTCACCGAGGCCGAGTCAAATCGATGCTGTTTGCAGAGCGACAGACAACGTTGGCCGACCGCAAACAGAAACGACGCTTTATGGGCTGATTCATTACGCACTTCCTGGCCCCCCTGTTTGCCCTACAAATTGCAGCCTACAAAAAGGAAATTACGGCTCCCAAAAGAGCGGGCCGATGGCAGCGTAGTGTGGGAAAGAAGTACATTACGGTGCATTACGACAGGGGATCGCGCTTCAGAGAAACAGTGCACCAGCACTTCTTGGACGTTTAATATAGTCATATTATACGAAACATGTAGTAATGTTATATGGATGTATATATATATATATATATATATATATATATATATATTGACTGTGTATAGCCATAGTACACATATATGCATGTATATACGTATAGAGAGAGAGAGAGAGAGAGAGAGAGAGAGAGAGAGAGAGAGAGAGAGAGAGAGAGAGAGAGAGAGAGAGAGAGAGAGAGAGAGAGAGAGAGAGAGAGAGAGAGAGAGAGGGATATATATATATATATATATATATATATATATATATATATAGATAGATAGATAGATAGATAGATAGATAGATAGATAGATAGATAGATAGATAGATAGATAGATACAGATGTAGCTGTATTATAGCCACTATATATCCATATTATAGGCAACATGTAACAAACCCAAGCACTCTGTCCCCTACCACGCGCACGGTCTCCTACCACTCGTAACGCAAGTCGTGGTATTGCAGGCCGTTTCATCATCCCAGCACGTGATTCTCAAATATCCATCAGCTGCAGACAGGGAAATGCAAACACACCTGTATTGAACGCAGCGTAACGTCGGACCACAACAGTGTGGCCGAGACGAGGGACAGACGGTCATCCTGGAAACTGCCGGCCATCAAAGGCCGATTCTTAGTGGTAAAACACGACATGTCTAGAATAAGGCATCATGTCTGCACATGGTGAAGTCCTGTCTGTGTAGTCCTGTATAGTATACATAGTCCTGCAGTGAAATGGTTTGAAGTTGCATTCGAAGTGTGTTGAATTTATCTCTAACGACACACAAAACGCCCTATTTAATGACTAGCACTTCAGCATCCGCTTCAAGAGAGCATTCGCAGCGAATTCAACAAAGATCACTGCTCAACCCGCTCCACAAAACGATGCAGATACTGTTAGATGGTTCATCGACACAAGACGGAAAACAAGACGTGGCGTTCGCCCCCCCCCCCCCAAAGTTATCACTTGCGATGAGAAGAAAAGCCACCAAACATGACTCATCTATTGCATTTGAAAGCCTCTCAGCACAATGATGCTCCAACACTGGCGTCAATAACGGAAAGACGATCAGAGAAGAACAGCTGCTGGCAGGCCGAGTTGCTGTCTAGGGCATGTACAACCTCTTCCCTGTACTTGTTCATGTAGATGTAGAGCTCCTTGAGGGCGGCGATGGCGTCGAACTGAGCCGCCTGGCTGCGGGACAGCTGCTGGAGGAACACGCCCAGGTCCTGGTCACTGACCGGTGGACGGCTTCGCACCGACTCGAAATACTCGCCCACCGAGCACTGCCACCGGCCGATGTCCTTGGCGAACACGAGTTTATGCGACGGCGAGTTTTTGGAGATGGTGTGGGGCGTGGACAGACACGCCTCCACAAGGCTCTGAGATATCACAGTCAGGCTGGACTCGACGGCCGGCGACTTGTCCAGGTCGAATATCAGCTCCGGACGCCGGATCAGGTTGGCCCACATACGCAGCGGCAAACTGAAACGCGTTTTACAGCGTCAATAGTCGTACAATCTACAGGCAGATCAGGAAAAAGCCTCACTGCCCTCGTAATTGCTGTTGGTACGGGAACCTTTAGGCCTTTCTCTAACAGTTCCTTAAATGTCTTCCTACATACCTATTTGTCTTGCTTATGATCATCTGAAATCTACTCAACGGATGCCATATGGCTACTTTACTGCAGTACCTCCGCCGGGTGCAGAACACAGATCTTACCAGTTGGCCTTCCATGCGTGCAGGATCTCCGGGTGGTCGATACCCTCCCTCTCGGCCTCCTCGTCCAGCACGTCAAACAGCCACTTGACCACCGCCGGAGGCTCGTCGTCAAGCACGAACAGGCTCGACATCATATCGTCGATGAAGCGCTGCAGCATGGCTGTTGGCGGACAACGGTGGCATCGCGATCATTTGCTCCGCAGCCTCGTTTGTGGTCAGCGCACGTGGAGCGATTCCACTTGTATGAGCCTCATTTACCTTTTTCACGAATGCAGCACAGATGACAATAAATCGACTGGTGTCGGTCCTCCGAGCATGGCTAGCCCGCTGGGTTCGCGGCGAGACAGAGCTTACTCCCGGGTGCGCCACCTGCCTGCTGGGCCCGCGGACCACCCGCCGCTGACCTTTGGTGGCGAGCAGTCGGGTGAGGAAGACCTCCGGCACGGCTCGGGCGGCCGTCTCCTGGCCAGCGCCGCCGCTGCCGCCGCCGCCGGCCGGCCCCTCCGGTCGCACCAGGTGGTACACCTTGATCTCGGCGCCCGGCCGCACGTAGATGTTGGTGTTCACCAGCGGAGAGAGCGCCGACGGCAAAGAGAAACTGCTCGCGGCTGAGGTACAGATGGCATAAACTCAGTTCCAGCCCTCACGTACCAACAAGCGTTACGGAAGCGGGCCAAGACGTTGACCCGATCTTTTTTGACATCCGGTTTGGCGGTCGATTTAACGCCTGAAGAAAACCACTCTGCGCGTGGCAATGAGCCACACGTTCGTATCAGGTCACTGCTGAGCAAGAAAGTCGGGCAGAGCAAGCCAAACAATTGTACATTGATAAATGAATGTTCATTTTACTTACAGCCGGGTGTGTTGTACTTCTTGGTTCGCACTGTTTCCCTGGCCTGGACCAAGTACATGGTGGCAATCTTGGAGATGCCGTAGTGGGAGAGGGTGTTGATCTGCCTCCATCCGTCAGCAGCTTTGCTGGTGGCGTCTTCGTCGGCCAGCAAAGTCCGCTGACCGTCCGCACGGCACCACTCTGATAGCAAAACGTGACCATTATACACAACCTACGTCCTGCGTTTATCCTGACCGCACCCACCGTAACACCGTGACATATGTAATGGATTGACCACAATGAAAAACACTCCTGACGACCTGAAAGGTCCGATTTTGACACTGTACATTAAAAAGTTGTTGCGTTTACTGATGATACTGAGCGTGGACCGGGTTAGGCGCTGTATCGCACCGGCGAAAGAAGGGGACACAGAAGGCACGGCATGACGCAAAACACAACCAATTACGACGGGTCCTTAGCTGAATGGAACAATCAGTTTTTGCCAGTGCAGACGAGCTGTCTCTACAGACAGCCGTCATTTATGGACGACCTCCCAGCTGGGACGCCGACGAGGCTACCTCAGCTAGCGCAAGCCAGTATCGTGAACAGTTACGCATGGGGCGGATAGACGTGTGATGGACTGACCTAGGGGACACGGTGACAGACGTGTGATAGACTGACCTAGGGCGACGCAGTGGTGGCTGGGCCGCTGCGAGGCGGGCAGGCCGCAGAACACCTCGTCAATGACCTTCTGCTTGACCTGACTGATGGAGTCGCAGTCGAGCGCGTGAACGTTGACCTTGTGACTGACGTCCTCGTACAGCCGGGGCTGGCCCTGGTACTCGTTACACGGGATCCGCTCGTATGGAGTCTCCTCAGTTGTTACTAGCAGCGTCTGTCGCACATATGTGAGCACTGAGTGATGGGAGCTGTGTGAGAATAAATCGCATCGATCGACACAATGCATCAGTTGCAGTATTTATTAATAACAGTTGGGTTTCTGCTTGCACTCAACTTGTAGCTGAACGAAATCAATACCATGTTGGTTATTTGGATTAGAGCCCTTTTGGTCAGTAATGCCCATTTCAGGGCCGTGGAATGAATGACAATCATAACGGTGGGGCAAGACTTCATGCACCTGGGGACCCATCCGCCGAGGCTTTGCCCGCACGGGGACCCCTCTGCGGGTTGCGTGCCTGGCACGAGGACGGGGCCGCCACCAGAGGGCACTTCATCCCACTTGTGGCTGGCGCACGCATCCTGCTCCGGACAAGCGGGACGTCGCAAAGATGTAAGACAAGGTGAGATATAAGAAAAGAGAGCGAATATATGCCGCACTGGCCAACAAGTCGTTTAGCGCCCCCCCCCCCCCCCCCCCCCCCCCCCCGTAGCTTTAAAGCCTGAAACGCATCTCATTCATGCGTAGTAACTGCCTTTTCCCGGCCCTCGGTTTGCATGAGCCAGCTGAGCATGTGTGTCACTCACCACGCTGTTGTGTTCGACCTGCTGCCGGAGCAGCCTCTCCTCGGCCAGACTGTAGTGGGCCTCCAGCGTGACGGCGTCCACCGGCCCGCACGACATCTGGTGCTTGATGGCCTTGGTCAGCAGGTACAGCGGCGAGGACAGCCGATCCCGGATGTGTCTGGGGACGCACGGCCAGTACAGGGTACACAGTGTACATCCGGGCACATCAAGAGCGACGAAATGTACGCCTACTAGGCTCGTAATTCATGAGGAAGTGAGGAGCATCTAAGGGGGAGTGAGAAAAGAAGTGTGGGGACGAATCATAAATGAATCAACGGTTTCATTGATGAACAAGCGAGTGGAAGATGAGTGTGTGTCATTGGGGCTTTACGAAGCACTCGGCTGCTAAGTCTAGATGGCGTCGCCTGTCTCTCGCCCTGGCAGGAAGGGGGATTGGAAGGGCAAAAAGACGGCGTTCGGGGAATGGGACCTCCGTCCCTCTGACTTCCCAGACGCACCAGTATAACCACTATACTATCGTTGCCGTATTGGAGGATGAACGAATGAATAGTTCATCGAAAGATCGCATGACTCACTTGATAACTGAATATATGAATAGAAAAAGAAAAGAGCAATAAACAAAGCCGCAAGGTGAACGAACGAGGTGAATGTACGATTGTATTAATAATTACTTCCTAATCGCTTAACCGACAACCCAAATATTGGTTTGCACCTGATTCTGAATACATAGAATCAACAAATTCACCTTCATCGTCCAGTCACCGGCAAAGCCATGCCGATCTCTTCGGACTTGTCAAAACATGAAATGGATCCGTTGGCAACGCGATTTGGGGTGTCAGAAGAATGGCGTCATTGCTACGAACACTAGCTTACGGTTCTTGGCATCCGTTCTAAACAAAAGCAGCAACAAAACATGCGTAAACCCCTTTAAATCGAGATAACGGAGATCAGAAGTATTAATTCATGATGATGCATCCAATGCAAATGGGTACTTCGGGATGCTCACGTCTACTTGGTTTTATATGTCCTAACACTAGTCGTAATTTTGATTCGAGCAGGGGCGCTCTTTGCCTCACAGGGGAAGCTGAGCCGAGGGCTTCCTCATGACGAGTGGAATGCTAAAAAAATGACGAAAACGTCCCATCCATATCAGATTATTTGTATCATATGTCCGCAGTTCGAACCTCTCAATAGCTGCCCAACCTATTGTGCTCATTGTCAACAAACGTTAGTAGGGATTAGGGAACCATCGCAGACCGAGCAGAACAAAGTGCGCGTAAGCATGAGAGAGGTTGAATAACAGCTACAAAAATAAGCTTAACTTTGGAACCACTTTGAGAGCGCACAAAAAGAAAAAAATTAAGATGTCTCAATCGCTGTGGGCACATACCCGTAGAGGCAGACGGATATCCAGTTTGTGAGCAGCTTTTCCATGACGGTCTCGGTGCGGCGCAGCATCAGGTGAGGATGTTTGGAACGCGATATCCTGGATATGTGCCGCACCAGCAGCTGGTGCAGTACGGTCGTCATGTACTCCATGTTGGTCATCAGGATCACCGTCAGCAGGGACGCCACCGTCACCCTGAAAATAGCACCGTGGTCATGTGCTCCATGTTGGTCATCACGATCACCATCAGCAGGGACGCCACCGTTACTCTGCAAGCTAAGTGCCGCTGCCGTAGGCGTCATCCGGTGTAAATCTCAGATATCAAGCTAATGGTAATCAGGCTTCATCATTATCCGAACTGTCTAACGACAACCCAAGCACTGGTAGCTTGGGAGAGCATCCACAAGTAACGGCAACTGTTTTTTTATTCGTACGGGACTCACAGATTTCTCACGATTGCATCTGTCAGATTTGACTTACGTACGCATATTGCCAATTCTCACTCTACACACCCTGAGGACGAAAAATCGTCACTTCTCCCGTTTCATCAATAAAAGCCGCCCTGCTCACCTGTCCCTGATGGAGAAGTCCTTCTGCTGTTCCATGGTGTCGATGACGGTGACCAGGAAGTTGGGGTTTCTCACCAGCTGCTCCAGCTGCAGCATGGCCATGTCGAGCGCGGTCCGAGGACTGGTGGGAGATGAGGGGCTCTGGTGCTTCAGGATCGGGTGGTCCGCGATGCCAGGGAACAGAACCTGCACGAGATGTACAGGGCGGTGTTACTCGTCACCTCCACACACAGCATCCCATTGCGACACATAGACGGAAAGTGATAGCTGGGTTCGCGGGCGAGGAAGGCGTGCATAAAGTACTAGCAACCCCACAACTGATCGAGCTAAATAGCTGGGGCCCACTGACCTTGATGAGGAACTCCCTCTGATCGAGGCAGTCGACCTCGTCGGGGTTGAAGCTGGCCGCCAGGCTGTTGAGCTGCGCCTGCAGGTCGGGACTGGCCGCCGCCAGAGGGTCGCCGCCCCGCCGCGAGTCCCACGTGCACATGGCCGCGAACGCCTGCTTGCACTCGGAGCGGATGTTGTTCTCGAGCGTGTCCATCTGGATCTGGATGCGCTTGTACTCGCGCTCGACCTGGGACGACTTGCGCCGGTACACGAATAGGATGAGCAGCGAGGCCAGCACCAGGACGGCGGCGCCGGCCGCGATGCCGCCGATCACGTCCGCACCCAGCTGGCGACAGATAAAAACAGACAGGTTAACGCACACATGTTAACCACAGGTTAAGATGATAATGAGGGAGGCTTTGTGACGCGCCGGCTATTATGGGTATTTTGTGCTATAACCGCAGTTCAAAAGACGTGCAAGTAATATTAAAACGTTGATAAGCGATACCCGGTGTGTGAAGCAAGAATTGCTGCAACATAGTAAGTTACACAACAATTTCAGGCATATGACGGGAGACCCTCGGGTTGGAAATGGGCGAAACTAGAGCATAACGAATTAGCCGTACACAAATAAAGTCAGAAAATAATGGCATTTTGATGCGAGCACCGAGACCAGTGGTGGACACGGGTAAGCACCAAGGTCGCAACAAGCATGCTAACGCAGAATTTAACATCATCCGCAGCGACATATGAGCAGCTCCCAGCCTCTACCTTGAACGCGCCGTCGTCGTCATACTGCAGCTGTCCGAGCGTGAACCGGAGGTTGCCGACGCTGACGACGACGTCTGGCAGCTGGCTGCTGTCGGCGCCGAGCTGACCGGCCGGCTGCTGCTGGGGCGGCACACAGACCAGCTGGCTGGCCGTCAGGCTGGTGACATTGCAGGGCTGGCCGCCGACCGTCACCGCCGTGTCACGCTCGTCACTGGCCGCGCTCAGGTCACGACCCTGCAGCAGGAGGAAAACTGGCATAACGAAACCATTCCAGATGGCCAGGGTGGGGTCGTTAAATTCGTTTCAATGAGTTGTGGAACGTCGAAACATGAAATCGGCGTCACGTGACGCTCGAGTGACGTCATACTACACTTAGCAACTTCTCGATCTCGATCTCGACGTATTTATCATTATCACGGGCAGCACAACGGTTGTCAAATGCATAAGTCATTAGCACTGCCAAGCCAACCCATGAGTGATGGTTGGCGCCACATGAGGCTTTACTTGTAAAGTCCCTTTAAAGTGTCGAACGACACTTGGAACCAGTAGACTACGTCCTGAACATGTCTTGGAGCCTGGAATTTATTTTGACTCGTCCACCGCTCGCTCCCTTTATGCGCTACGCTTTCGTAACTTCCTGAACTTTCTCCACAACATTCGCAGGATGCCGAGTAACCGAAGGCCAACTCCTTCCTGGAAGCACTCGCCAGGACATTCATTTCTTATTTTTCAACTGGCAGTAAAATGTTCTCTAGGTTTGTGATGTAATAGGACATGTACGTGTGGGTACCACCGAATTGCAAGGTTTCATATTCCACGTGCTGAGTGATTTTCACCAGCCACTCTTGTATCCGTCTTAGCGTTTATGCGCGGAACATTCAGTCATTGCGGGATTTTACATAGTTCTGGCCCGCTCCAAGGAAATCTAAAAAATGCACGGAGTTGTATGTATTCCAACAGTTACAGTGCACTACTCTGCTGAGGCAAAAACAACAAAGATGAAACTTTCCGTCTTTTTCCTGGATAAAGTACTGCACCTGAAATATCGGCAAGCATGCGTTTTTCGAGCCATGTGTTTTTACATCCTTCCAGAAAGGTCTTAACATCGTTGAATACCATGCCGTTCTTTACTTAACTTTGAACCGATTCTTGGAATAGCCATTTGCACACATAAGTGTGTTTACTGCCAGTACATACATATTCATGCCGGGTTTATTCAAGCCACATAACATTTTCTGGCCAAACCCTATCAGGAGTTCTCTCTAGCGATTCCCGTCGCCGTTGGAGTTCAGCCAAAGCCATGACCTAAAACACGCGTGGCAGTGCACCACTGAAGTGCTGCCATGACTACCTTCCAACGTCATGCCCAGAGTCTGTAAAGGTACAATATGCTACGCGCACACGGGGGGGGGGGGACTTGATAATTGCCCTGAAGAAGTAGGCCTTTTGTGCGAACGTTAACCAGCGGGTCATCCAGAGGTGGCGTTACCAGCGAGGTGCTTCAGGCAGTTCACTTGAATTTTGGAGTTAAGAAAAAAAACAGAGCGCACTAACAAGTAGAATCCATGATGGCCCGACTTCAACACTAAATACCTTCAGCTTTCGGAACTGTTCTCACTCTAGGTCTTTGACCTGTTGCGAGACGGTCAGTTTATCAGCAAGATGCTGGCAGCTCCCAGCTCTCCCCCTCTTCCCCCCCCCCCCACCGTAGTCTGCCTGCAGCGGCCGCTGCAAGCGGAAAGAGGGCTGTAGGCGAGCACAGTGTTGTAGCTGCGCATCCGTCATTTTATGGAGCTAACATTTCGCAAGTCACGCGCCGGTTAGGGATCGCGCAAACGGTACGAAATTTACAGACAACGCGATAGCATGGAAGTCCCCGAGTGAAACGAAAAGACGTGGACTGCAGAGTAAGAAGTATCGGAAGGTGCGGCAGGACGATCTAGCCCGAAACAACTGGACGACGTCAGTCGTTTCCTTTGCTGCTGGTCCAGAGTAGGTTAAGATGTATCCCACTAGCCAGGATTGACGGCAACGGTTGGCGACTGGAGGGAACTAGTGATGATTGATGAGCGCACAGTTTATTATTAAACACGGTAATCAAACACGCGTATTTACGGTTTATATTATTTTCATGCGACGTTATCATCGTGTCCCACTACCACGGCACCCTTTTCGCAGCTGAACGCTTCCCGTTCCCCGACCACTCCCCACATGGCAACATTACGAATCATTCGCGACCTCTGGTGTCGCCACTGAGAGTCTGGGCCCAGCAGTGCTTTCAGGAATATTGGTTGTGCTGAAGGCACAACTGGTTATTGCTCATTTGAACTGCATACTAATGTTTGCCTCATCCACAGCGGCGTCTAGCTCCATCTGCTGAGTTCAAAATGCTTCCATATTCAATTACGCCAAACTTTTGTCCAAAATATTTAGATATTCCTTCTTCAAAACTCTGAGCTGAATTTAACAAGGTCTATTGATCATTAGCAAAACAGCCTCATACACTACCGCGGGGTATTCGAATTCGGGTCGGTTAAGGTGGCGCAAGTCTGCAAACAGACTTTGCGAACCAAAGCGAGTCCCAGTTCATTGTAGTCCTAAGCAAATAAATATAAATTCCTCCCGCATGGTACCACTTTGCAGCCCTACAAATAAAGACACGAAAAGAGAATAAAAGCCGCTTCTATGTCTAGTGTTGCCTCAAGGAGGTAATTCACGAGACGTATAAAAACATTTCACACAAACGAAACAGACCTATGACAAGTTTTTATTCACACATAACAAGAACAAAATCAGTTTACCATGCATTATCTACCAACCTAAAATTCATATGGCTATTACAATGTTTTTAATCACCTGTAGAAGATTAACAATGTATGAGAATTTCCGGGACTGGCTCCAACCGCTGGCTCACACATACGCAGCAAAAGACAAGTTCGTTGCTTTGATCGCGGCTAACCTGCCATAAACATGCATTGCCTACTTTATTGATACCAAACTTTCGTCGATTCACTTGCTTAAGAACCTCAAATCACTTATTTATCCTACGAAAGTTGAAGCTTGGACTAATGAACTCTTCTCAGCCGTTCAGAGCCACTCGCGTCTTACCTCGATAACCAGTGTGTCTCCGCTGAAGATCTTCACGTCCTTGGCGAACGGGAAGTAAACCGGATCATCCACGTACGTCATCGTCGACAGCACGTTGTGAAAGAACTTCTTCAAATTTTGAACTTTCTGTACATTATCCATGAGAAAGCCGATCTGAAACAGCAGAATAACAGTGCAACACATTCTCCACATCATCATCATCAAAAATATCATCATTAAATCATCATCATTACGAGTCATTCGCGACCTCTGATGTCGCCACTGAGAGTCTAGGCTCAGCAGTGCTTTCAGGATTATTAGTTGTGCTGAAGGCACAACTGGCTATTGCTCATTCGAACTGCAAACTAATGATTGCTTCATCCACAGCGGCGTCTAGCTTCATCTGCTGAGTTCAAAATCATCGTGAGTTCAAACCAATCATGAGATCACATCATCAAAAATAAAATTAAAAAATAATAAAAGACGGCAGTACGCGCCGGTTGAGGGAACATCAAGTCAAAAGATCGTACAAGCCATCAGGCCGGTGTCCGCGCACCAGCCCGGCAGCGTGCCTACCTGCAGTTCCCGGTGTCGAGGCCCGGTCGGCCGGCTGTCGGGTGACCGATGCATCCGGGAGGCTCGGGAGTCGGCCAGACGGAGCGGCTCCGGCGCCGGACCCGGCTCGCCGGACAGACGGGGGATGGCCGGCGACGGACACTCCATCAGCTCGCCGGACAGCACCAGACAGAGCTGTTCAACCAGGCGCCACGTTACAGACGGACAGTCAGACGGGTCACCGGACAACACCAGGCACAGTTTTCCTACCAGGTGCCACATTACAGGCGAACAGTCAGACGGGTCGTCGGACAACACCAGACAGGGCTGTCCAACCAGGCGCCATGCCATCGACGAACAATCCGTCGAGTCGCCGAAATGGGGTGTCTGACTAGAGCCGCCGCCACAGGCTATCAATTCCACCGTCCAATTCACCACACACCACATCACACCACAGTCACAATTCACAATCCAATATCAATTCACCAGGTCACCGGTAAAGAGGCAATAAAATGATCGCATCGTGTCCGCCACGCTGATTGGTCTGCTGTCAACTCACGGTGGCGTTGATTGGCCGCCGGTGTGTCTCATTGAACACTATCATCTGAGGCGCCTGCACCGAATCCAGGTGCCGGCCGTGCACGGTCAGAGGCCGCCCACCCGAGACGTAGCTCCTCAGCGGCTTGATGTCCAGCACCGACGGGTCTGCGGCACCGGCACCGGTGAGTGACGTCATATGAAGCTTAGTGATGTCACACGGAGCTCAGTGACGTCAGCCGAAGGGAGCTCAGAGCTGTCACAGACATGAGCCATGATCAGTTTGGTGGCCTCTGGCCGGTCTGGCTGAGTGCGTGGTTCGTGATGTGCAAGGAATAAGGAGGACACACCGGGATCATCGGCTGGAGCTGCTGGAGAACGAATGCATTTGTTCATGTGCGCCGCGCCACATGTTTTTGATTATTATGCTTGCTGGTTCATGCACACATGCCGTTGCCGAGCAAGCGAATGGTAATGATTTGTTGCTGCACGCTCTATAACAGCTCGCGTAACTACTCATAACAATGTCCATAATTTGCCAGGAGTACCTACGGCTTAGACATTAAGGTCCTGTGCTTTAAAATATTTTATTCAAGGGCGCTTAGATAAGATTGCAGACCAAAACGTTCCTTAGATGAAAATGCGCTACAATGTTATTTGACATTCAATTTCTACTTTATGTACGTGGCCACTTTGAATGGAATGCTACAATCCTAACCCAGAAAAAACGCACATTTCGTGGGTGCCGGGTAAAAATTTTCCGGCGAGTCCCATGCTCCCTTTACGTGGGCGCCTGAGTGTGACTCACCAGGCGTATACACGAAGCGAACGTTGAGTGTTCGGTTGGCACGGTCCAGAGTGACCATAATCTCCGCGACCTCCTTGACGACGGATGAGGCGGAGGTCACACACTTGACGTCGGCCATCCGTGACCTCACGTGACACGGCAGGCCACCCAGCGTCACCGTCACGTTTGACCCGACGTGAAGGTTTGACCCCGTCAGGGTCAGGAGCGTCCCACCGCTCAGAGGGCCGATGCGAGGCCGGATATCATCCACCTCAATCCTCTGTGGAGAACATGGAGAACACAATCTGAGGGTGGGGTATTTCAACGGTCGTGTCAGCGGGTGCGAGCCGCCCCTCTCAGATGCCTAACGCCGCCCTGCGGGGGCTAACCTGCTCCCGGGGCGGCACGGGCCGTCGGGTGCCCGGCCCGCGTGTGGTACTGGCGGTGAGGCGAGTACGCTGATGACGGCAGCATGGTGCCATCTGTGGTCGAGTAGCCGCGTTTCTGTCCGTGCCCGTGACCGACCGAGTCATGCCTGAGACTGGCAACCAGTCAGGACCCGTGCTGACGGTGGCTGTGGCCACCATCCCTTGATGGGTTCACGTCGCAGAACGATCTGATGGCGCAGTGCAAATGTCTCGGTGGTTGAAAGGCCATCTCCGAGGAACATCTCATTACGACCATCGCACTGGTGAGGCCTTGCGTATCCTCAATGAACTCGAGAGCTTCCATGGAAGTGCGCGACAGCCAAAGAGGAGGTTCAGTCTCTCTTATCAGGGCGAGTCACGGTTGAGCAAGCTGCCATCTAGCTAGCATGGATCATGCGAGTTCACGAGACAAGGTTATCACTACACTGCACCCCATTCGCAGAGGGGGGGGGGGGGCCTTCGCTTGTTTGCACGGCCGCACGACACGTACCAACAACGTGTTGATTGTGTCTCGAGGCGAACACAAAGCGGACAGGTGGTCTCAACTCAATGTTCGAAGCGACCGTGCTCGCTATGATCGCATCAAAAAGCGTCGGCTGACTTCCCAGTCCAGACAGTCCCCAACCTGGAAGCCACAAATGACGCAATGTACGATCAGCAAGGACTTCCCCACCTGCCCAGCCACTAAGTCGTTTGTTTGGGCAGCGTCTTTTCACGTGCCCCCGAGCTCGGCGCGGCCTACACCGTGGCGCACCGTCACCGCCGCCTTCAGTCGGCGAGCTCCCGCACGCACTAGAAACACCGCATTCCGTCCTCCAGAGACCTCGCTGACCCACCCGGCCGGCCTCCGGCGGGGCCACACGCTGCCAGCTGTCGTACCGCTGTCGGTAGAGGTCGCGGCGCGCCGCCGAGCTGTGGCCCGATCCCGCCGGGAGGTACCGGCGCCGGCCGCTAGGTGGCCGGCCGCGCTCGGGCCGGTCAGGACGCGGGCCGCCGAGGGCTCAGGCGAGGGTGGCACGCGATGGACCTGAGAAGTCCATCGCACGTGCGGCTGCTCCTCGCGCCCCCCAGACGTGCTCGCGCAGACAAGTGAAACAGAAGCTTCACGCGGACTACCGAACATGAGAGGCTCTCGCGGAGGCGCCCGAGTTCATTACGAATACGCGATGTCTCACCAGGACAACATATTGCGACGGTCGGGCAGAGATGCTCCTCGGAGATGGCCCCCAAACCATCGAGACGTTAACACTGCGCCAAGAAATTGTTCGGCGACGTGGACCCATCAAACGATGGAAGACCCGCCACAGTCGCCGTCAGTACAGGTTCCGAATGGCGGACATCATGCGGTCTGAAACTGTCTCTGGAACGTGTAACATTGGTGTCAGCCGATTGAATTCTATTGCCCATGAAATCTCACCGGAGAGCATTTCCATAACCCAGACGGCATCCAGTGTATTAGATCTCCCAGGTTCCCAGCTCTGTGAAGGAAGATAAGTAGCTTTATGGCTTCTTTCCATGGTTCCGAAAATGTATCCCACCGTTGAGTTTCTGGCGACAACGTTGGTTGATTTCCTGAATTCCACAACGTTCCAATGGAACGCAGAACTGAACCAGTCCTGTTAGGCCCTGAGGGACGCCTGTTTCAGTGGACCGGCGTTATCGTATCCCAAACAGGGCGGTCTTTTTATGCTCTACACCGACAGCGGCATTTCCGACTCGTGTCATATTTTGTGTCAGGTACAGGAGGGTATGAAACGTGCAATATTTTACCATTGTGTCTGTTTATTCTTGTCTACATCGGCAAGGACAAATAAGCAGGCTCAGGAAGAGGTATTGCTCTGCGAGCAAGGAAAGCTTTGATCGCAGGCGCAACATGTGCGGTAAACAATACAAACCTTGGGATAGGACTCGAGTGAAAAAACGTCCGACGTGGGCCGCGATTGCCGCCAAAAATGGAGCATCCGTGGTCGGACGTGTGCATCGTACCGGAAAATGTTGGTCGCCGTCTCGTTACAAACCTCACGCTCACGGGCGGGCTTATCAAGCTCCATATCAATACCGGGAAACGTGTCGTAGATAGGAGTGTTTAGAGCAGACTGTGTTGAAAGCCAGCTGCGCCTCGCGAGAGGAGAGAATGTTACTGGGAGTGTGCTGCCCTCCTCGGATACTTAACGCCGCTCCTGCGAGGGCTGACCTGCTGACGCCGCCCCTGTGAGGGTTGACCTGCCCTCGGGGCGGAACGGACCCGCTGGTACTCGGACCGCGAGTCAATAAGGTGAATACATAACGACGGTAAAAGGCGCTGCATCATAAATCCACACAAAATTACGGCTGTTCAATGCACGGTGCAGTTTTCCATCGCTGTTGTAAATTTGGTTAGCCGGCATTATAGCCACAGCGGGACTAAGACCCACATCGCCGTTTACGGCAAGATCGCATGTTCCACCGTACCTTGTACTCGAACGAAGCGGTGGAGACGGTGAAGCCGGCGTTGTTGCCCAGCTTGACGGGCTCCACCGACGGGCTGGCCACGGCGCTGGTCCGGCAGACAACCCTGACCGAAACCTCGTACTCGACCAACACACAGGGCGCCCGGCCGACGAAGATCCGTCCGTTGACCTCACTCCGGCGGAGGCCGAGGTTGCGGCCTTCGATGGTGAGCAGGGTGCCGCCCTCCAGCGGACCCCAGCGAGGGTGTATCTGACGGCGTAAGGGATGGATGTCAGCTCTCGATGGTGAGTAAGGTGTCGCCTTCTAGCGGACCCCGTGAGGGTACATCTAACGGCGTAAAGGATAAACATCACCCCTCCATGGTGAGTAGGGTGTCGCCTTCTAGCGGACCCCAGCGAGGGCGTATCGGACGGCGTAAAAGGTTCGAAATCCAGGTATTCTTGACCACATGCAATATTTTAACCGTGGCTGCACATGGCGCAGTTCAAAGTCATCCCCACAGCTCTTTTGATATGCTGACCACAGACGGATAATTGCATTGCAAAGTGATATTTACATATCCATTCATCACACACCAAATGCGGTGCTTATCTGACATGGGCGGTAACTGCACTAATGAATCAGACACCGGAGATAATGATTGGCCTATCAGCCGCGGTCCAATTCGATTACGCCACACCCAGGTTGGCAGCGTCATGTTCCCTGTGACATAAGCATCCACTTAAGGGAACACTCCCATGACTTGTAATTAGAATATCGTTACAGACGTTCTCGGCCGTTTACCAATAGCTTCCAAGCGAGTAGATAAAGACTGCGTGCGTCCCGTCAGCCGGACACCTCTGCTCCACAGGCTGCACTGGCCGACCTGTCCAGCACCCCACCACGTCAGCTGCTCGTCAATCGACCCGGAGAGCCTATCCAAATTTCCAGGCGGCCGGTGGCGAGGGTCCGGCCAGCCTGATACGGTGCGCCCGCTCGATACGTGTTTATCTGCTGAAGCCGCACCGCGAGCCGGAGACCGGCCCGGCCCGGCGACCCCCGGGTAATGGCGGCTCGGTGGCGGCCTCCCGATCCGGCCTCCGTCGGCCGGCGGCCCGTGCCGACGGCCGTGACGTCATCGCTCGGCAGGCGGCGACTTTTCAACAAGTCGGACGATCGACGAGGAGACGCCCGCAGCGGAAACCGGAGTATCTCATTAGAGCGTGACGTAAAGTCGATGCGTCGGGGAGACGTACCCGGACGGGTGACGGGGGGCGGGGGGGGGGCCGCGCGGAGAGGCTTCGGCCTCTTATCCGAGGGCTGACAGGCGGGCCGTAGGCCGGCTTATTTGAGGCTGGTTCGTTATTGGGGCTGAAGGGTGCGCCGGCCGCTAAAACGTATTTGGCATCCGTTGCTCGTTCACAGACGCGATTATCTGAAGTCATTACGATTTGGGCTCTAGTAATCGCCGCACGTCCAGGACGGTGAAACTTCATACTTGTTGCAATTTTAAGAAAGCGCCAGTGTCATGAGGCCATTGGGTGGAAATATTTCAAAAATACACCCTTAGCCTCGAAGTTAATGAACATTTCACTCTACGCCTGGATCTTGGCAAAGACAGCACTGGCGGTCAGCAAAAAAGGAGTAGAATGCGCATTCAGCGTAATGGCGCGAACTCCACTGATGCGAACCGAACAGCTTAGAAAGATGCCACTTATAGGTCATTCACCTTTATGCGGGCACGTGAGCAATTCGAAATTGGTCAGCAGGGGTACCTAACGGGTTTTACCACGCGGAAAAGCTACAAAACACCAACATTTTAATTCGTCTCCCCGGCTCACGTACTTACCTTATCGATTGCCGGCTTGGGACACTCTCTGACGGCCGTCTTGCGGCACTGCTCACTGAAACGGCACTCCCCGCCGCACCAGCGGCACCTGGAAAGACGCGCAGCAATGAAATTCATGTCTTTGGTGGCTGTCTCGCAGAAAAAAAAACCACCGATGATGTGAATGCTTGGCGGAGGACAATCCATCGACAATGCGTTGATTACGGTATCGGCGATCCCGAGGTAAGATGGAGTACGCCATGCTTGCAAGCCTTCCTGATGGTTACTGGTCTGTGTACCCAATTCGGTGCTGGGTAGCTCTACTGAGAGCAGGGATCAACAGACGCGCCGGCCATAAGCCCTCTTCAGCACTGTCAGTGCTGCCTGTGAAGAGGACTTAAGGCGGAAACGTTCCCTGCTCTCCCCTCTCTGAACAGAGTTACCCACTGCCCA